GCAAAATTATAATGGAAATTCAGAACCTGCCATTAGTGTTCTGCGCTTTTCCAGAGAATGTGCAGTTGAGATTCCCTCAACACCCTCCCAAGCCTCCAGATTACAATCTCTGAGTAATCTGTGAAGTGCCAAAATCTTCCATGAGTGCACTGTTGGTCTTGTTCTAAGAATGCTGGAAAACCTTACACCGTGTTAAATGAGGTGTTACATGTTTTTGGCTCCATACTGACTTCACAATTGTTGCTGTACACATTCAGCAACCCAGAAAAACTAATTCTATCATTGTGGGATATCTCCATTATTATAAGCTTCCACATTTTAAAAAGTTAGTTATATTGATATTTTAGCTTATGTCTAATCAAACTTGTTTATTTTAAATTCAGCATATTCAAATTAAAAGTGAACTTTAAATTGTTTTTAACTTCCTGGTTGACTGTCTGAGAATATTTCAATTTGATTGGCTACTCACCTTGCAGACATCACAGCTGATGTGTACATGGAAATTCCTATAACTTGTGATTTAAGCTGTTGACAGGACAGTGGAAGTCTGCAAGCACCTTTCTTTGACATCTGTGGCTGGCACCCCTGCTTTATGAAGCATATATATATATTTTGCTAAAATGCCTTTTGAATTAATAACCTACTATCTGCAAACACACAGTATGGTCACTGATCCCTAGTTCAAATTGTTGTTGTCTTGAAAACATACTGGAGCTATTCTTCTGCACTATCATGCCTCAGCATATTATGAAGTTTAGTGAAATCTTCTAAACTGGACACAAACAGGCCATTAAATTTGCTGCTGGAAATTATATGAACTTTAGCATTTAAGCTACAGACAGACCTGATTCTTAAGCAATTACCTAATTAACATAGATTTATAGAATTGGAGCAGGAGTAGGCCATTTAGCCCTTCAAGCCTGCTCTGCTATTCAGTATAATTATCCAACACAGCAGTCTGTTCCTGCTTTCTCCCCATATCCTTTGTTCCTTTTACTCTTAAGAACTGTCTCTACATCTCTCTTGAAATTAAATACGGAGAGTGTCAGCTGTTCAGGGAATTCACGAATTTGTCATAACCACTCAACAGACATTTGCTGAAAGTAGTCCATGAACCAGGAATTTATATAAGCTAGCATGTAAGTCTCCTTTTAATATTTAAGTTTTTAATTTTAAAAGATAACCAGCAACAGCTTTATGCTTTAAACAAGATAAAAGATTACTTTATGTAATTACTGCTGGAAGTTACTTTCAGAAAAAGTGGTAAAGTTATTGACAAAAATACAGATGCAAAGGTTTGAAGTGAATAAGGATAAAAGCTACATATGAAAATGAGATCACTATTGTATCATCAGATGTCCAGCTCGCTTGACTGTTGTCTTTGTGAAGAGTTGAAACTTAAAGTCAGGTTGAGCTGCTAAAAGCAGTTTACCTTAGGGGTAAAGGCAGGAAGTGGCTTTCAGTAGTGACCTCTGTCTTCAGATTTGAGAAAATGAAGGTAATTCCCAAACACAGTGGGTTGTTTACTGTGGTTTCCCTGTCGTGAAACCAGCTATTTTGTATACTTACCAGGAAGGCAGGTAATTGGACCATGGTGGGTTGAAACCCATAGATGCTAATTGTCTAAGCTAATTGACTACTTAAAGACTTAAATTGATGGGGGCTTGAGAGAATCATCCATGGATATTCTTGCCCAGAACTTAGTTGCCAACATGACAGGGTGGGGATGGAAGCAGCAGTGAGTATCTCTCCAGGGCCAATCTACCTAAACACTTCAACTTTCTACTGCTTTCCCTGCCACCTTCACGGAGGGGGTAAATCACATCCAGTGTCTTCAGATGGTGTCCATCTAAATGGCCATGCATCACCAGTTTTTAGATATTTTCAATCAACCTGTCCGGTGGGACTTGAACCTGGGCCTCTTGGCTCAGAGACAAGGATACTACCACTATACTACACCATAGCACCCCCATTCCTCACCCCAGCCAGCCACTATCATAATCAGACAAAGCAGCTGCAAATGTTAACCTGGATAAATTATTGTTTCATAAAGAAAAGTCTATTATACTAGACTTCCTTATGATGTCCTTCTTGCTTCCGGCTCATAACTACAGAAGCTTTGAGTTATGAAATCTTTGAATTGTTTAAAGATCCCTTGTGATTGGCTGTTAAGATAACACAGGCTAATTGTTTGCTTTTGGCTGCAGTTGAACCACAGTGGAAGTCGCTTGATGTTTAGAAGGCACATTGTAAGACTTATTGATCTCAACTTTCACCGCAGTGGAGAATGTCTCCATTTCAGTGAAAATTTCAGAAGATCTTTAGATTCCTTGCAGGCATGGGGAGGGTCAGGTACACTTTAAGCCACTGGGAACAACCCAACTTGTCAACACTGTCAAGAAGTGTTAACAAGTGTCCACCTGTTGGGAACTGTCAAGAAATGTCAAACTGATTTTTTTGGATGAGTTTTTTTTCCCTCAATAGTGTGTAGAATGTAGGACTTTAAGTCATAATACTATATTTTTCGTCTGTGTGCTTGGGTATTTGATACTCAATGAGTTGTCATGGTAGCTGAAGGGATAAAGGATCATTGGCATCAGTAGTGAGCATAGGTTGTCATAGGCAATATAAGGAGCTATGGGGTTTTGGTAGAGGGCATTACGTTGCATAATGGTGGGGCCCGGGGAATGTGTGGGACTGAGAACTGGAGGATTGTTTATATTTATCTCTGTGAGAGGTAATCCTACTTTGAACCTGTTCACAGAAATCCTTTTGGGATTATGAAAATGTTTCTTGTGCATATGAAGTGTATAAGCTTATTGGACTGCCAAAGTTGTCAGTTGATCTGGCTCTCAATCTAGCCACACCCCTCCCCAACCACTCCATACTAAAAATGTGAAGTGTGGACAGCCATTTTTAAAGGGTTATTTCTCAATGCTAAGATTTCTCCCACCTCTGCTCACAGCTACATGTTTGTGAGACATCTGTTTGTTTAAAAATGGACCAACAGATAAGAACCTTCCAAATTGGCATGATTCGGTGCTCTTTCCTGAAACCAATCAAGGCTATTCTCCAATTGAATGGCTCTTTCAGAAACAAAGATACTGAATGTCACAACTCCTCAGAGGTGTTCACTGACAATAAAGTAAGTGTACTCAATGTGACTACTTACCTTATTTTGAAAAAAAATTGAATTCAAAAGTTACACGATGAGGGAACTATGTTATGCCTGCTTTTTATATTTGCTTGAAGTTGATTTGCAGGCAGAGTTCCATGAAAGGGCATCAAACTAGTTTCAAGTAATGTAAACATAAAGTAATTAACAGCAATATCTTGTAAGTGGTGAATCGTAACAGAGAGAAAGAAGACACAACCTGTTCCAACTTCATGTGTACCTGAAAGCCAATCTTCAACAAATTCAATTGCATGAAATCTCAGCTTTCTGAGAATCCTTCACTTACAAGACCCTTATTTTGACTATAAAGTGTCCACTTCATTCAAGGAGCTAGACCATCCTTGTCAAAGATAGAGACCATAAACTAGAGACTGAGTTAGTTGTAATCTATATCAAACTACAACTGTAACCAATCTTTGTGTGCGTGAACATGTATGTGGAAATGAGTGTGTGAAGCATAGAATCCCAACAGTGTGGAGACAGGCCCTTCGGCCCAACAAGTCCACACCGACCCTTGCAGCATCCCACCCAGATCCATTCCCCTATAACCCACACACCCCTGAACACTACAGGCAATTTAGCTTGGCCAATCCACCTAGCCTGCACATCTTTGGACTGTGGGAGGAAACCGGAGCACCCAGAGGAAACCCACGTAGACACGGGGAGAATGTGCAAACTCCACACAGACAGTCGCCCAAGGCTGGAATCGAACCTGGGTCCCTGGTGCTGTGAGGCTGCAGTGCTAACCACTGAGCCACCATGCCACCCTGTTAAAACATACGTTGCATACGTGAAATGGCGTGTTTTAAATGTGGGGTGAGTCTGTGAGGGTGTAAAACCTTCTTTATTGTAAAACTCTCAAAGGCTTGCTGATGAATTTTTTTTCAATGAGAAAACTCATGACTTGAATACAAAATATGTCAATTGTAGGGATTAAAGGGAGCACACAAATTCTGTCCATGACAGCACCAATGGCTACTACAAATGGACAACATTAGGCTATACTTTTCCCCTCACATTGTAATGTTATCAATTAGTGTTGCTCACAAATGACTTGAGCATCAATGACTTTGATGTAAACCATTTGTAATGTATATTCTGTCTTGAAATGAAAAACCACATGTATAAACAGATAATCTGCAGTATAAGTAATTATCTATATACAAGGACTTTGCCTTTATACTTTGCCAATTTGAAAGGAGAATTGGTACAACACTGCAGTATTTAATATGGTACTGAGTTCTGCTGATCAGAAAGAGCTCAGGTTTGATAATGACTTCTGCTAAGTTAGCTGACCTCATCTAGAGCGTGGTAGTGAAGCAGCACAGTTGGCTTCAATGTACTTGGGCTATAAGTGAGAAGAATCTTTAGGTCTCTGATGATTGTTACTCAGTAGCTCCTACTGGAAAGTACTTGTGCATAGACTTTGGATGAAGACAGTAAAAGCTTCACTATTTTATCCTTTTATAGTTAAATAGCTTGATGGCATTTGATGCCAGATTCAAATATGAAAACTGGGCGCTAGGGTGATGTACCAAAAGGCAATCTGGCCCTGTGCCACAATAACTCAGCATGAGTAATCTTTAAAACAGGGATGAGGATTGCAGAAAATGACATTTCGTAAGTATGATTTATATTTAACTTTTGTGATGAAGTAACAACAGAAATAAAACAAATCTGATTACCTCATTTACTTGTTGAGTTGATAAATTCAGACACTGTTTTACAACTTGGAATGGACAGGTGAGGTTAATAACTAGATTAATATACTTTTCTATGATAAATAAAGTCAGTAACAATGTCTGGAATTTATGGTTGTGCATAGGTGTGGCGTGAGTTTCCTGACAGGCTGGTGGGATACCCAGGACGACTTCATTTGTGGGACCACGATACTAATAAATGGAAATATGAATCAGAATGGACAAATGAGGTCTCAATGGTATTAACTGGAGCTGCTTTCTATCACAAGGTACAAGTACATTTTAAACAAACTTTGCCAGAGGTCTTAATGCATTTGTTATATTTTGTGCCTAGTATATTGACATCACAGACTTACAGGAAAAAGCATGGTTTCAAATGCATTGTAGCACATATTCCACAAAATGTCTAACCATGCTTCCTCTAACCCTTACACAATAATGTGAGAAAAGGCTGGCTTAGGAAAAAGTCTTCAAATTAAAATAAGATTTGCCTGGCTCTGAGTGCAAATCTGAAGTTCAGCAAAAGTATCAATTTAATTTTGGATGAAGTTTGCTGGGAATTCTGTAATACCGGTGAAAGCAAAGTATCAATTTAAAATTGACCGCCAGTTCGAGAGAAGTAAATGTAGAGATAGATGAACAAATTTAAAGGGCAGCAAGAAAATGTAGAATGATTGTGGAGATGAAAGCTGTGTGATTTAATTTATATCATTGTCTTAAAGTTTGGATTTTATACTGGTGGACCATGGGTGTTGATTTTTTTTGAAGGGATTTAAATATGAACTATACCTGCCCCTACACCTTCCCCTCCCACCTCCGTCCAAGTCCCCAAACAATCCTTCCAAATCCGGCAGAGATTCACCTGCACTTTATCTAATCTCATCTACTGTATCCACTGCTCCCGATGTGGTCTCCTGTATATCGGGGAGACCAGACACAGACTCGGGGACGGGTTTGCGGAGCATCTGCGCTCTGCATGCAACAACTTACCCAATCTTTAACTCCCCTCCCACTCCCCTGGTGACATGTCCATCCTTGGCCTCCTCCACTGTCAGAGTGAGACCAAAAGTAAACTGGAGGAACATCACCTCATATTTCGCCTTGGGAGCTTACAGACGAATGGCCTGAATATTGACTTCATCAGCTCCAAAATCTCTCTTCGCCCAACCTGTCCATTTTCCGATTCACCTATTCGCTACACTCTTCCCACTGACAAACCACAATAACCCCCTGCCTGTGTCCACCTATCTTCAACTCACCTACCCTCCTCCAACCCCACCCCCGTCCCACTGACAAAGGGTTTAGGCCTGAAACGTTGACTTTCCTGCTCCTTGGATGCAATCGGATCTGCTGTGCTTTTCCAGCTCCACATTTATTGACTTAAAGTGAGCTGTGTCAGTCTGTCTGGAACCATGGTTTTAAACCTGTATGCATCAAAGAGCAGATCTACGAAGCTACCTGGGGTATTCATGGAAGTTTATTTATGTTGCAAAAATTTACAACAGGAGGAAGAAAATATTGACAGACATTAGCTTGCATTTGGATTTAGAATAATCAAAGATTGATCTTACCTTAAAATATCCTAGAGATTGGAAAGTTTTTGAGGCAGTCTGAAGGAAACTTAACTGAATTTTGATGCCGATACAGTTTTCTGCCAGAAAAGGGAGATTGTTCAAAGGAGTTAAGAAAATAAGTTACCCTAGTGAATGAGTTTGATTTGTGAAATTTCCAGAACAGGAGTGTTTGGTTAGAAATCTGCACTTGTTATTCAAAGCTGAGAAAAAATTCTAAGACTTAAGTTGTGAGAATGGCCAAGGGAAAAAGCCTCACACTGAACACACTGGAAATGAGAAACCCACAGTTTGATTTAGAAGGACTTTCTCTGAATTTTTGATAAACTGTAAAATGATAGTGTTGGGGAGTAGGTGGGATTTTAATTTCCCCTGTGTTTTGAGACTTTTCAAACATTTTCATATATAGATAGTTTAGTTTGTTTGGTGCTTTTTATTTTAAAATGACATCAGCAACCTTATGTTTCAGTGAAAGGTCACTACGTTAGAAAAAAATATGATCTATCAAGTTAGATTTCATTCAGAGATCTCACTTGTCTAATAGTAACATCAGCTGGGATCATAACACTGTTATGAGAGAATTGATGTTGCTGAGATGCAATGAGAAGCTATTTCAAAGGTTTAAGTTGATGAACTAATGCAAGACAACTTCTGCACAATGTGCTATAGCCAAGATTCAAAAAATTAAATAAAAGCAAAATACCATGGATGCTGCAAATCTGAAATAAGAAAAGTAAGTGCTGGGAAAGTTCAGGTGTGATAGGTCTGACCTATGGAGACAGAAACCGAGTTAATGTTTTTAGTCCAATATCACTCCTCTTCTATTCTGAAACATTTCTCCAGTACTCCCTATTTTCACGATAAATGAAGTTAAATGCCTGAATGTTTAGTATTGAGCTGGTGATAGTAAAAATGTCAGCAGTACATATGTATTTGAGCATCAAAATAGTGTTAAATGTGATATTGTGACTTAAGCAATGACTACTGGTATGTGTCAGAGGTGATAAAATTACTGGTAGATTTCAGGAAGGCTAAAAGCTGAGGTTTGAAAGTGGAGACCATATTAGAGAAAGCACAATGTTGAGAAAATGGGCAGATAAAAATGAATAGAATTATTACCCTTGGTTTCCTGTAGCATTAAGAAAATAAATTGTTAAAAAGAGAGCATTCTACCACATAATATACAGTATTATTTTGCTGGTAAGCAGGCATGTATGACTTGTCTTGACTATTTAAGACCAGTGTATCTTCTTGTTAAATGTAGTGAGCTAAATTACAAATTTGTTGTTTTTAGAGATTTCCTTAGGTCAGTTATCAGATTTTATTTATTTCTGTGTAAGTTTATCAAATTTGAAAATAATTTGTTTTCTTCTTTAAAATACGTTTAAACAGTATTGCATAGAAATTGACATGTACTATGAATATGTTTATTCATTTATTGGTGTTGGCATTGCTGGCAAGACTATTCATTGATTCCCAACAGTTCAGAAAGAGGCCATTCAGCCCATTGAGTCTGCACTGACCCTCTGAAGACCATCCCACCCAGGCCCGCCCTATCCTGTAATTTACCATGGCTAATCCACCCTAGCGTACTGTGTGGAGTTTGCACGTTCTCCCTGCTGCAGGTGCTCCAGTTTCCTCCCACAGTCCAAAGATGTACAGGTTAAATGCCCATCCCTAATTGCATTTGAGGAGGCAGTGATGACCTGCCTTCTTGAATTGCTGTAGATCATGGGGTGTTGGTACATCCACATGCTATAGGATAATGCTAATAAAGTATAATAGATATTTTTCAAAACCTTGTATCCTAGAGATTCCTTTTGGCATTTTTCATTGTCGTAAAACATGTTGCTCTCTGATGAACGGGACTTTGTGTGTGAAATAGCATAATGTGGTCTAATACAAGTGATTCCCTCTGCTGTTGCTTCTGGAGTTAAACAAAATGGCAACGCTTTCAGGTTCTTTATCCTAATCACTGTTTTTGCCGTTGGCTCTGCTTTGTCAGTGATTTGTTTCCTAATTCTTTCTCTTATTGGATAAAATTTTCCTTAGCTGTTCCCTTTTTACTCTTCCTGTCCCACTGTATTACTGCTGCATGTATGTAGAGAAATTTTGGAATGTTCACTAGAAGCTATTCAGAGGATTTAATGAAGCTTTTTATTTACATTATGAGGAATTTTGATATGATGATTTCAGAGAATTTCGATTCTGGTTGGAGAATTAATGATGAGGGATCACCTATTTAAAATAGTCACAGGGAAATTTAGGAAAGAAAAGGATGAAAGAGTTTTCTTCACACATTTCTGCAAAGAGAGGATTGTCCTACGAAAAGGACATGAGTCGGCTCGGTCCATGTTCCCTGAAGTCTAAACAAATGAGATGTGGTCTCATTGAAACACAAAGAATTCTTAGATTTCATCAAGGTAAAAGCTGGAAAGATTTTCTCCTGGCTGTTTAAGGGTCATGGTCTCAGAATATGGAGCTGATTGTTTAGAATTGAAACAAGACAATTTTTTTTTCCACTCAGGATTTGTGAATCCTTCGAATTCTTTACACCAGAGAGCTGAGGATGCTTATATGTTGAGTGTATTCAAGTCAGAAATAAATTTTTGGTTACTAAGGGAAACCAGGGTTATGGTGATGGTGTGGAAAGATTGTGGCTGAGATACAAGATCAGCCACAATCTTATTAAAGGATGCAGCAAGCTGTCAGGGCTGAAAAGCCTTTTCCTGCTGCTATTTATTTTATAATGCAAAATATCCCAGCTATCAGGAGGAATCATGTTTTTTAAGCAGATGAAAGTATTTAAAAGCAACTTGTGTCCTTCAGACTAATAGGAAAAGTAAAATAGTTCCATTAACACTGGCCTAGAGTAAGCCTAGTGTTGCACTTGTTAGTATAAATTAAACAGGTTTTAGATATGCCTGTGGAGAACATGATTTGCTATGAAATGGCTAATTTAATAAAAATTACAATGTTTGAACATCTGTAAGATAATAGCACAAGATTAAATTAATCCAGCAATAGTTGAATGAATGAAGTTCAAGGTGAACTTTTTTTTAACAAGTCATTAAAGGCAGATGTTGAAATCTAGATGAGTAAAATGGTAAGAGAAAAAAGATCGTGAACTTTGGTCATACTCCCAGTCAAAATAGATAATTATGACCAGCAGAGTATCTAAGGAACAGCACAGGCAACTGCTATTCATAATGTTGATGGATGGTCTTGATGAATGTACCTTGATTCTCACAGATATTCTAATTTTAGCATCACATCCCATGGTGCGGGACGCCATATATCTTGAAAATAATCAAAGGGATGAGGTAAATCAGAACAAATTAAATATGTTATGCCAAACTGAAGTGTTTTAAAATTCTGAAGATTATCCAGCTGAAAGAAAGATTGGAAGAAGTATGAAGTCAGTGCTTTGCAATATTGAGAAAGAATTAATGAGAATTTCAGACTGCAATCCATCTTGATTTCACCATTTTATAAATGTAAGGAGGGGCAAAAAAATGTTGAACAGCATTTTTCAAGCCAAGAGGCAACAAGACGAAAAATGCAGCAATCTTTAATTATAAGAATTGGGAGCATTAGTATGCCATTCAGCCTCTCAAGCCTTCTGCACCATTTAATAAGGTTATAACTGATCTGGATTGTGACTATAACTCTAATTTGCTGCCTAACCCCTGTTAGCCTTGACTCCCCATACGTCAAAAATTTGTCTAACTCCGTCTTGAACATATTCCATGACCTAACCTCCACTGCTCACTAGAATTCCAGACACTCTGAATTTCTGGGAGAAAAAATTTCTCTTAATCTCAGTCTTAACTGGGAGACACCTTATTTTTATGTTGTGCTTTCTTGTTGTAGGTTCTTGCAGATGGGGAAACATCCGCTCAGCATCTGCCCTGTCAAGTTCACTCAGGGTCTTGTTATGTTTTAATAAGCAGTAAGCCCAACTGCTCGACTATTTCTCATAAGAAAACGCCATCCCAGCATTAACCTAATAAGTCTTGTTTGAACTTCCAATCTAAGTTTACCTGTCCTTAAGTAAGGTGACCAAATCTGTTTTCCATCCACTTGATGCCTTTTCTTCAATGTACTGTACAGTTGTAGCAAGCCTTACCTACTTTTATACTCCACGCCTTTGCAGTGCCATGTGCCTTCATAATTACTCACATGATAACATTTTGTGAAGAGAACATTGAGATTCCTCTGTGCCATTGTGTACTGTAGTCTCTCTTTATTTAAATAATATTCTGTTTTTTCATTCTTCCTGACAAATAGGACAACTTCACATTTTCCTACATTATACCTGAAACATTAACTCTGTTTTCTCTCCACAGATGCTGCCAGACCTGCTGAATTTTTTTAGCAATTTCTGTTTCTGTTTCAATTTTCCAGCATCCACCATTCTGTGTGTTGTATTATTGTAATTTATCGCTGCTTTGCAATTTACAAGTTGTAATAATAGACTCTACATAACTACAAAGGACTATTTGGAGGACCTTGGCTTTTGCATGTGTCCCACGAGATCCTTCTTTACTCTTTCACCAAGTCCTTATGATATCATCACAGTAGTGATGCTTATTGCACTCAATCAAGTATTGAGCATTCCTGACCCATTTACTACACAAACCAGAAAACTAAATACACTAATCTTCAGTTTTAAAAATCATTTTTGAGATACCCCAAAACGAAGATTGGAGCAAACATATGGGATTAAGATTGAAGCTGAAGGATCACGAATAAACTTTAAAAACAGTATTTTAGAATACGCGAGCTAATTTTGGTCATGATTTAAAAATAGACATTCCACCAATATAAAGTTATTTCTTTTCAGGAACAAGAGGATGATTAGCAATAATAATGAACTTAATAAGCTGGTTAAAAAAGGCTCATTCAATAAGTTGTAATTTTTTTTCAAAAGTTTTTACGGCAAAACTCCAAGCACAATGTTGGTTCCAGTCTGTGCAGACTTCAACGTCATAATGTAAAAACCACTGACAACAGCTTCTGGATTTCTACATTTAGCTGCGCATGTGCAGGCTCCAGAAGTTACCTGTTTTAGATGAGTAGTGATGGTAAACACTGACAGTTTTACCATCATTGCTGCCAGAAAATCCAAACTACTAATGGCCTTGGTGAAGCTTGTATAGATTGACTTCGTGTCACATGGCAGTTTTTTACTGTAAGTACTTAATTTGTAGGCAGTGTTCTTTTGTTCTTACCCCTTCTCCATCTCAAACCCTCCCCCACATCATTTTTTTCATTATTTTTGTGGATTTATTTTCTTTCAGCAGTCCTATTGCTTTTTGACACCAATTTTCTATTGTCCTTGAGCAACTTTACTTGCATGAATTTTATATTGCTGTGTTGGGAGGGCATTGTTACGAGAGCTATGTAGAATCAAGACTGGCTATAATGATTTATCACATACAGATTGTAACACATACATAGCTTCAAAAGCTTGATCAAATTCTCAATAGCTATTTATCAAAAGTGTGGCTTAATCAACATTTCAAATTAGAACTTTTAACAATTCTTTTTATTTTGTGTCCAAGAATCCTGAACATTATTAACTGTAATATTGTAATTTACACATTGAAAGATAATTTCTAATAGACTTGTGCAATGCTTTTTATCTTTTTAGTATTTTAATTACTTATATACCTACAAGATGCCAGGTGATATTAAAAATTGGGTGGATGCTCATATGAACTGTGAGGATATCGCTATGAACTTCCTAGTAGCTAACATGACCGGAAAAGCTCCTATTAAGGTACGTTTCCTTGACTACCAGAAAGGTGTGCAGAAAGAGAAATCATACAAAGTTGCTATGTTTGTCTGGCAATCCTTAGTACATTGTAACTAATCAGAAGGGATATAAAATATATATACATTTTATGTTTATAAATTAAACGTAAATGAGAATTATAATTAATGCATAAATAATTGATATAATCTGTTTATCATTTTAAAAATTCAAATCTTAATTTTTAAAGTTTTTAATATTGTTTTGTAAATTACTGTTGAAGGGGGAAGCCAGCATTGTAAAGTCAGTATTAAAGGTATTGCAGTTTTGGTTTGTGCAAAGCCTCTTGGGTGTTATAAACTTTGTCGCCTTTACAGTCTCTAAATATTCATAGAATCTGTCAGTCAACTTAATGAGAAAACAGACATAGGTTAATAAGATCCTTTCAAAGTAGGGGAAGCAACATTTCATCACCTTTTGATTGTACTGGCAACCAATGCTTGTACAAGGCACCTAGAAGTGTGAAAACAATCATTAAATGAGTTTTAATGGGTTGTCATCACACACTTTCAACGAATGTGAAACCATTCTAGTAATTTTATTGACCTCTTGTGAGTTGAAATATGCCTTACTGAGCCAGATGGAACTTGAGCAAAATGTTCTGAAAGAATGGTGCTCTCACATTACACTGCAGGCGTGCTTGAACATCTAGCTGGATTAAACATGCCATTAATATTGTTGGAATTATTGTGACACGCAGGTGACCCCACGTAAAAAGTTCAAGTGCCCGGAGTGCACAGCAATTGATGGACTGTCACTAGACCAGACCCATATGGTTGAACGGTGAGTGCTCCATTCCTCCCATGTATTTAACAGCTTGTGTCTGCCATTTCAGAAGTGCCCAAGAAAAACATGCATGACTGGTTCCAGATTTACAGCCCACTTGGAAAATGTTAGTCACTGCCTTCTGCGAAAAAGAAAGTTCTATCCACGTTTACATAATTAATGATATTGGAAATGTTTGAACCCGTTTACATTTGTAAGCAATGATGTCCTAAGTTTCAAAACGTTGCAGTAGTTCAGAATAGCAGATATGCATCAAAGTGATTCAAAATGCATTGTGAGTGCATTAGAATTGTAGGAACTGTGTTGGAGACTGAGACCCCAGTTTTATTTTATTTCACCATTAGAAGTACTGGAGAATAGTGCTTGTTGCAGCTTCTATATTCTGTTGTGAGTGCTTTAAAGACATTAACACCATTAGCAATTGAATTTCATCTTTCTTTACCACAAGCTTTAATGGAAGATAAAATATAACTTTAAAACCACTGTAAAATAACTTACAAAAACCTGCGTGCATTTATTCAACTAAAGACTTGTGAGCATTTGTCTTTTTTGACATCTTTTCAAAACATTAATATTCCCATGCTGTCCTCTTAACTTCTTAAAACATCCCAATGTTATGAATTTAAGAAATGCTTTCAATTTTATGGACTACAATAATGGTTTTGTGATGATTTCTGGTTTTGCAGATGTTGTTCTGACAGTGTTTTATTAGATATCATTAAGTACATATTTAAAACCATGGGAATATAATTGCAGGTCAGAATGCATCAATAAATTTGCATCTGTATTTGGGATCATGCCACTGAAGGTGGTGGAACATCGAGCCGATCCAGTCTTGTACAAGGATGATTTCCCGGAGAAGTTGAAGAGTTTTCCCAACATTGGCAGTTTATGAAATGCTGGCATTCAAAATTGTGACCCTTTTGAGGACACGATCCTTGTTCTGTAAGATGTAGTTTCAGCATGGACGAATCACTGCGTGATTTGAAACTATTGTCAGTAATTCACAGTTTTCTTCTGCCTCTTTATTGAAGATTATAACTTTAAGAGATGTAATGCAGAGAACAATGTGACTTTTTTTTAGTGTAAATGTTACCAAATTGTAATAGTCCATCATGACAGAAAATTATTTTCTTTTTCAAACAAAAGTGTGTTGTGTGTTGCGAAAATTATTGAAGATTAAAAACTCAAATACAACTCTTCACAATGACGATATATGGAAAACCTCCTCTCTCATTGGATTCGACATCAAAAGGATTTGTGACAATTATGTTTCCAAACTTGCCAAAGTTGGACCATGTACTGACTGCTCCATTTGCAATGTGCCTACCTATAGTCATAATACTGCATGTTTGTTGTCCTTTTGTTTGCCCTAATTGGTTATTCCCTGGTATAGCATACTTCAAGTGAACTTACCTGCAGATGGAACACAATGAAATATTTTCAATCTATACTGCGAATATTCAACATTGTAATTGCAACGTTCTGCTAAAAATAATCTCCTGCTCATATGTTCTCATTAATTGTTGCTGATGATAATAATCCCTTACCTTTGATGCCTATCTTTTATTTCCTCATGGTAGCAGTACGCACTAATAGTTTTTGAGAGTATTGTTTTATTAGGGATGCTGAGTTGATATATTTTACATAATGTATTTAACCTATATTAGGTAGGGAACTTAATGATTGCTGTCTTGTTAAAAATAGTTTAAGCTCTCCAGTGGTTCAGTAAGTCACACACTATACAATGTGCTTGTGAACTGGACAAACTATGTTGCTATCAACATGGAGGTTGAGGATATTGGTGGATGGGGTCAACGAGTGGTGTGCAGAAAGAGTTCTTTAAAGTTCTTAAATTATGGGTATGGGTTCAAAAATTCAGGCAAAGCTGCTTCTCCCAGTCAGAGGTCCAAGTTGAAATGTACAGCCATTGAACATTGATTGAGTAGGGGCCATGATTAATTGTTTTTTGTTTCTTCCCCACTTTCCACCTGCTATTCCCTTTCCACCCCCTTCCATAACCCAAATCAATTAATGTACCAGTGTTTGAGAGTTGCTGGGAGACTGCTTTCATCCATGCAACCATAGTTGGGGATGAGAAGGGAGAAAAAAAAATTAAAAACTAGTCAGCAGAACTTGATTCTGACTTAGATGCAGAAAAGGCATTCCGATATTTTACAAGATGAAAGTCCTGGGATACTCAAAGCATGGGCTTTGCACAGCTGGCTGCAAGTCAGAGATAAAAATGTTTGGGATTCACTAGACTAGTTGCCTGGAAAATGTGTCTTTAGTATATTTCCTAGGCTGCTGGGGTTAGAACATAAACCAGTTTTGCATTTGGGATTTAGGAACCCTGTTCTATAAGAAGCCCCTATACGCATTAAGAGCACCTTAACAAAATTTAAGATACTGACAATACTGTGTTGTACCACACAGTCAAATGAGGAATTTTATCAAATTCAAAAGATACATTAGACATCTGTTGTAATCCAATCTTCCTGAGATAATATAGCAACTTTAGACTGGTGAAGGTTTTTGCACATTTTTGAAAACTAATACTTTCTTCCAAAGAGCTGCCTGTTGAACAGCACTGTGGTTATAATGTTTGTTTTTTTTTTATTGATGATCATGATAGATATCATTGTTAGAAACCAAGAATGTTCATGATTTATAGAGCCTTTTATACTGTGTAATATTTTCCAGCAGCTGCTTTATTCCATTTTAACCCTGCAAAATCCAACTGTTAATTGGCTAATCCCAGGAGTGTATTCTGTGGTAGTTTCTGAGATGAAGTCCATCACAAGAAGCCAGAAAAGTTGTGAGTTTCATTTGTTTTGCTTCAAAGTTGTCACATAATATCAGGGTGCATTGTGCTCCCTTCATTGGACTGGTTGGCACAAAATGTTTCTGAGACAATTAATGAATATAACTCATTGAAAGAAAGAAAAACACTGGCATCAGAATCATGCATTACAGGGATCGAATTGTTGGAATCAAACTGGTGCTCAACTTTTGATGTTTTTATATCAGCTCTGTGAATTGCTATTCCTGCATCAGACAACTATTGTCAGTTGTTTGTGTTTTCATATTTTCCCACTGTTAGTGATCAGTAATACGAGTAAATGCATAACTATGTAGTGATGATATATTGAATGTTGGACAGCAACAATGTAGAAGAAAATGCTGGTCAAGTTTGAAGCAGCTATGATTTGCTATCATGAGTTGTGTACATTTTTAGTAAACCTTGAGCAATTCTTGATTTTTTCTAACATAAAAAGAACTTAGATTTATACATCTCCCCTATATTGACACCAGAGTACTTTGAAAAGTAATTCTTCTAAGTGTAGTTACTTATGTTGGAAAATACAACTGCTATTCCACACAGGAATGTTCCATCTGTTTTTAGGTGGCAGCGGTTGAGAGAGAAATGTTGGCTCAGAGACATAAATATTTACAAAGTTGCTGACACTGTTTACAAGTTCTATGATTACAAAACTAATTGCATTTATGGGAATTTGATCCAGAATTGTAACAAAAATGGACTCCGTGTCAAACGAAATATTAAGAATCTGTTTTTAATGCCCTTTTATTCTGCTGCAACTCTTTGAAGTCATATTATATACTTAGTTGTTAGAACTCCTCTTCTCTAAATTGAAGAACAGTGGTTATTTGTCAATTAACTTTTGAAAAACCTGGATTTTATGCTGTGATTTAAGCACTTTAACTCCCTTATTCATCAGAGTGTACATGAGGAGGTGGTTGAATTGCCGTAAGATTGAACTGCTTAGTGTAGAAATTCACAACCCCTTATGCATACATTCTATACAGTGCAATTGATTGACCTATAAAGCTTCCCTGATGAGCCAGTGGACAATGAACTGGTAAGGTACAAAGGCGCCTGAGTCAAGTGGTTTCAGTTTTGATTTCTGTTGTGTACTAGACTACCCTATAGCTGACTAAGCCAACTGAATAACTTTGACATTGTTGTTGTTTTGACTGGGGAAAGGAACAATCATCCAGAGTTCTTGTTTCTATCAGTTGATTCCTACTGAAAACTGAATTAATGGATCTTCCCCCACCCAACTGATATGGTCTGCTGACCTTTGTTGTCCATGTTCAGGATTGTTAGCTGGCCATTATAACAAAAGGCTTTTTGCATAACTGCAGCCATCCCATTGGGGTGGGGATGGTACAGCTTTTGTTTTTAAAAGGTTGGTCCAATGTTCTAATCAAAAATCTCATATTTTGGATTTGTATGGAATCCAAGAATCCTACAAAAAAAAGGTGATGAAAGCATTTTGCAGCAGAATGCATTGAGCGCACTGTACGAATATGGCTATAAAATCTTTTTAAACATCACAACTGTTAAATGAAGAAATGTTTTTCATAGTTTGTTTAATTCAAAATTTGCAGTTTTCTCTCAAGTGCTGGCTCACAACTTGGAGCAAATTACTTCTGCCTTCCAACTTCATCAGACATTCCCTTTAGTTCTCTCATTCCACTACCCCTTTTCTCCAAAACTTTCCAGTCCTGGGGATCCAAATTGAGGCCATTAACTTGAAATGTTAATTCCGTTTCACGCTCCATAGATGCTGCCTACCTTTCTGAGGATTTCAGTCATATTCTGTTTTTATTTTGGGACAAAAAGGCAATGGGTTACGTTATTAAAGGATAAAGATAGCATTGAAATTAGAATTCTCTCCACGCAAAATGATTAATAAGTGGAATGACTTCTGAATAAGGTAATTTTGATAGGGAATAAAGTAAGCTTTTTGCTGGGTGGCTGGGTGAGATGAAATTGGTCAAATGGTTGTAACTGAGCTGTTCTGAAGAAATCATATCGGACTTGAATCATTAACTCTGTATTGTTCTCTGCACAGATGCTGCCAGACCTGCGGAGTTTCTCCAGTGCCTTCTGTTTTCAGTTCAGATTTCTAACATCGGCAGTATTTTGCTCTTATTGGATTTAGTCATTTCAATTATTTTAAGTGGAAATTGCATGGATATATGAAACAAGTGAACCACATTGAGTCTTAAAATTGTATTTCAGGTTTTGCAAAGCATGTGGCTCATCCATTGCCGTTGATATTTTCCTGCAATCCTTGCACCAAAATGGCAAAATCCATCACCTATATATGATCTCTTATCAACTTCTAATTGTATTGTTTGATTTAATGTCATTGTACTTTATTTGCAAATGTTATCTGTCAGTTAATTATCACATACTGCTGTGTATTTCATAACTGAACAGTACTGTTAAATGGAACTCATTAGGTGGCCACCTGCAAGTCATTTATTAAATAAATTCACTTTATATCACACCCAATATGTCCTGTGATAATTGGACCAACTCATGAGTGTACTTACTATGTGATTACAAATCTGTAAATATTTTTCAGTGTAATCCAACTAAGATGTTACTTTACATTAATGTCACAGCGGGCAGTTTGCAGCTCAACCCCAGATGTGTTGACAGGATATTGTCTTCCCTTAATTTGTGAACCGGGGAATAATACAAAACTATTTTGTTTTCACTCTTGTGCACAATGCTGTTAGCAGCATTTTTGACAAATTTGAACAATATCTTAATTATAAAATCGATAATGCTTGAATTATTAAGATGTACACTTGTTGAAATTTTTATTAAAATGTGAAGAATATGGAAGGAATATTAATAGGTATACTGTTGTGTTCGACTTTCTTTGGGAATGGTCTGATTTTGTAAGTCACTACATTCAGAGTTACTGGTGTACATCTTCTGACACCTGTTGTTAATATAAGTTCTGTAATCCTTTCTGTACTCTGTCAGCAGTTCAGAAGGGCAGTGTTGGTATTTTTGTCCACTCCAATTAATGAAAGACTTCAGAGCTATCAAGATCATATTTCATCACCATTCCTTGAAAAGAAAATAGTTTTTTTCTTCAGTAGGAAAAAGATAGATTCTTTATTGAGTTATTGGTTATACCTGTCAAAACAATACATACCATTCTGACCCACTCTGTTACAGTTTCCTAAGAAATTACATCTATGCAAATCATTGTTCCAAGTGCAATAACTTACTCATAAAACAGTACAACAGAGGCAAATTATGAGTCTGTTAGATTCTCACAGTAATGATGAACACTACTTTGGATGCAGTAACTTTTTTTATTGAATGTAATCTAATTGCACCCTTTCCTACAATTATATTTAAAACAAGGCAATTAAAGCTAAAGGAGTAAAATATTTTACAACAAATTATAACAGTAATATTCTTGAGATTTCTTCTCGGCAAAAGTACACAACACACCCAAACAGATATATTACTCTGAACTTCAACCTTCTACTTCAGTAGTATAAGTAATAGCAATGGGCGTGATTGTTGCAAAAGATAATGACATTTAAAACGGTATAACATCTCACTTTTGGTATAGTTAGCAATAACACAATTTTTTTGTTTATTTGTAAGACATTTTCTTAACTTGTCTTTTTTTAAATTGTGTAAACTTTGCAAGGTCTTAAACTACTGTTGCTACTATAGGTCAGTGCCCAGGACTAGACACAGGTTTTGATGTTGAAGGTCAAGTAAATATTTTTTAAAAGATTAATTACTTAAAAATTGATTTGAACTTGATATCCAGTTTACTTTAATAAAATATTCCATTGAAAGAAAATGTCCTTATAGATCCGTTGTGGCAGTAGGGCAAGGGAACCAATTAGTCTCTATACCACAACTGATATGGGGCTTTTACAAAACCCTGTAGCCAATATAATTTAAAACAAAGTAATTTGGCAAAAACAAAACAAAACTTAGTTATAATTTGTATACAGAAATCTTAAGAAAAACTTGATTACAAAATTAGAATAAATCGATACATTTACTAAAATTGAAAGATGTTGCCATGGTTTTCAGTATCTAATTGGAATTGAAGTAATTACTTGGAATACCAAAATGGCCCCCTCGTATATATACAGAAGCAAGGTATGATGACACCTGCCTATGACAGGCCACAGGAAGCATCTGTGCATGCACTGTTGACATCACTACGTTTCACCTGCACGTGGGTTTTGACACCGTCCATGGTTACTGCAGGAGGCATCTGGAGACAAGGGGACCGGAAAGGCTGAGGCAAGGTGGAGACTACTGTCTCTGACAGAACAGCTGTCCGCCACCTCACTCCCTGACCATTACGTACCACCATGGAGGGTAGTGTATAGGTTGTGCTGGAAATGGACATTCACTTGTTTATCAAATCCACAGTCATTGAGTTTTGTCTGGGCAGAAGGAGCGGCCGGACCAGGCTGCTCCAGAAATGCATCACGTCGTCTGCAAACCTCAGAAAATAACTTTTAACAGAAAACACATGAGGTTCGTGTCAGCTGCTGTTTCATCACTTTGCAGTGATGTGGCACTGTAAGTCTATGTTTCTTCTGTTGCGAAGTTGGGTAGAGTATTCGTGGATTGGGAGGCAGGGCATTAGAATTTGGTGTTTATAAAATATTGGTGTTTATAAAATGCTGGGGGGAAAGCATGGCATGATCTTTTAAAAAGATTGTGCTTTTTCTATGCTTGGAGATGCCTGTGAGCAGCTTGAAAATTTGCAAGTACAGAGAGCACCCAAATTGAAACCTTTGTATCAAAAGGCCATCGCATTAGCAGGCCAAGCAGCATTTTTACCAAGACAATAGCATTTTGAATTTAGCCAATCAATTTGAACCAGGCACTTAGATACCAAAAACCTATCAAATTTGAATCTGATGGTTTTGACAACCTAGGACCAATCCAATTGTAAGAAATGGATTGATAATTAGGGGTATAAAAGAAGGGGTAAGTTGGAAAATTGGCAGAGCTAACTGCTATCTGCTGGAGATAACAGCTCTCAGCTCTTAGAGAAAGCACCATCTATTCTCAACAGTACCACAGCACTTCTAGCTGAGATTCCTGACAGAATAATTGACAGAGAAAACATTCCTGACAGAAGAATAGACAGAGAAGACACAGAACATTCCAGAAGATGTAACTTGCTGTAATTTCAAGAGACTAAATTCTATTTTGCCATATAAGTGTGAATTGTATTTATTGGAACAGCATACCATTAGAATCTTGCGTTATTCAGGAATAGTGAGTAGTTAGAATAGATTTGTTTGATTCGTTAATAGTTTAGTTAATTTGTTCAATGTTAGCATTAGATAAATAATTTGTTACTTGTTGATTGTAACGTGAGTGTCAAGGATTTATTTGATTTAACCATTAGAAGTTACTGAAAGGCAGGTTACACCCCTTTTCACACTCCTTTTAACAGATTATAGGGCGAGGTGCTCTTCTTTGGGTGTTTCGGTTTTGGTTCTCAGAGGGGGGTCAACCTCTGCTTTCTAAAACTTCCCATGTGTAGGCACTGTGTCACCTAATGGTGGCATTCACAATAAATGCAGTCAATTGAAATAGTTCAAAACTATATGCCATAAAATAAGAGATTTATGGTTTTTGCATCCTAACAGATACTGGACCCCAGGTGTGTTTAACTTTTCTCATGATTTCATCAGAACAGTGTCTTGTTAATCTATTTGGCTGGTGAGTTATTTGAATTAATTTACAAGCTGTTCTATACAACAAGCTTTTTTTTTAATCTTCAAATGTTATGGTCAGTGATGACTGCAAATATACATCAATATTACACAGAACTCTGCAATTTCTTACGAAGCTTGATGGATTCTAACTATGTATCTGGTTTTAAGTTGCCATTTTACTGTCGACTTTTACAAGCTTGCCTGAAATCTAAGGATATCAACTTCAAATGAAACTTTGGATTTTGAATATTTTTCAATGTGGCTCTTGTACAGTGAGGGGTACAATGTAAATATTTTGAAAATGGTGTAAACCTCATTTCTAATCCTACCAACCTATAATAGAAAAAGTGCTGCTTATAAATCTCCATGTTGCGTTATGTCCTTAGTCCAGCATTATGTAATATTGTACTATTTTCAGTGTTTGAATATGTACTGTTATATCGGTCATGTGGCCCAAGATATGGCAGCGCTGTGCTCTTTGGCTTTCATTCTTAAGGCTGCAATGCTGGATGATTTTCGATCTGGTTCATTACTGATGTCAAATGCGTTGATGGCAGCTCCGAGCCCAGTGGTGCCAAAGAGACCACCCATATGTGTCTGTCCCACATGGCTGCCAGGGGCAGAAACACCCAGGAAGTCAGACACCCCACCTGGAGCATGTGCATGTGCATGTGGGGACATGCAGGATGTTACCGTTTCACAGGGCACAACACAAGCTGGCACAGGAGAGGAGGCACCATTATTACCAATCCAAGATGGGTTTTGTATCTGGAAGAAAAATGAATGGATTAAATTTTAATCAACTTTTTTAGTATTCTCATACGTCTAGTTAGTTTTCCAAGTGCTTTATTTTTATACATTTTAATCACTTTTCAAAACTAATTGTTCAGTCTACTGTTAGTTTGGGTCACAGTCAATTTCCAGTATTTCCACTGCAAAGTTCCACTTACTATAAAAGTCTGTGGACACTATGCAAGTGTAAACCTCTAACAGTATTGAAAAACAAATATTGTGTACATTTTATATAACTACATTCAGATAAGGACACAATGTACCCCGAGTGAGAGACCTCTTATCGATCATTAGGAACAGCTCAGTAACATTACTTTGAGCTGGTCAAGCCTTGGAGGACCTAGCTAATGGACTGAGCCTGCAACAGAAGTTGCAAAAGCTAATGAAAGTGAAAAACTACAGTCTTATTCTCAGCAAGTTAACCATTGCAGATGCATTAGTCTTAGGATATTGATGCAAATGACCTCCACACATTCCTGGTAAGTCCATCATGTTGTGTGGTATTATCACAGTGCTAACTGGGAGTATTTCAGCAGTGATAAAGTAACACAAAGGTGAGTGTCCATGGGCCATCAACAATAGCAGAATTATATTCCATCACATTGTGAACACATGGCCCCGCATATCTTTTTAGTTCACCATTACCAAAATTCTAGGGTGTATGCCAAGCATCTGAAAATAAAGTGACAACATGCTGCATTTGCAAATCAGAACTATATGCATGCTGCTTCTACTCCTTTACTCTTTCATGAGACATGGGAGGTACTGGTGAGGCCAGCATTTATTGCCCATCCTTAACTGCCCTTGAATTGATCAGAAAGGACTGTTAGGTCAACTTCATTGCTGCAGTCTGAAATTGCATATATTCCAGATCTGGTTCTTCATCACTTGGTCAAACTCCTGGAACGTCCATACGGGCAAGGTTCTGTGGGGATATCTTCATAATGTGTAATGCAGAGGTTCAAAAAGGTAGTTGAACGCCACTTTCTCAACAGATTATTACTAATGGATCCACAAAATCTGGCCTTGCCAATGACACCCATATCCCCTTGAACAAAGAGGGACTTGCAGTGGAAGGAGGATCCAGTCAGTGTAGTCCAGTTTATTTTTATTTGTTCATGGGATGTGGACATCACTTGTTAGGCCAGCGTTTATTGCAGAGGGCAGTTAAGACTCGATCACATTGTGGTCAGGAGTCACATGTAGGCCAGATTGGTAAGGACAGCAGTTTCCTTCCTCGATGGACATTAGCGAACCAGGTAGATTTTTCCAACAACTGACAATGGTTTCATGGTCAAGATTAAACTCTTAATTCAAAAAGACGCAAGTTCAGTATAATGTAAGTGGTTAGGCGCCAAACTAAGAAGCAAAACCACAAAAAGGTGATAAACTCTGAATCACATGCAAATTGGCATAGGGCAAATCAGGTGTGGTGCAAAAACTGATAAGAGAGAAATGTGTTCTGGTTTGTATGGCACTGGCACCATTCTGGGGAAAGTGGGATCTATATCATTGGGATGTTCTCCATCTGAATTGTACAAGGGCCAGTATACTGTTGAACAATTTCTGTTTTTGGTTCAGATCTCCAGTATCCGCATGACTGTATTATCACAACAAGAAGGATGACCCAAGTTCAGGAAACCAGCATATAGGAATGAGATAGCAAAAACTGCAGATGCTGGAGTCCGAGATAACACAGTGTAGAGCTGGAGGAACACAGCTGGACAGGCAGCATCAGAGGAGCAGGAAAGTTGACATTTTGGGTCGGGAGTCTTCTTCAGAAATGGGTGGGGGTGTGGTGGGGTGAGGGAGAGGGGAGAAAGGAGCTGGGAAATAAATACAGAGGGGTAGGGATGGGGAAGGTAGGTGGGATGGTGATAGGTGAATGCAGGTACAGAGTGGTGGGGATTGGTCAGTGGGATGAGAGGATTGGTTGAACATGGGAATGAGGCCAGGGACGGAGAGATTTTAAAACTGGTGAATTCCATGTTTAAGACATTGGGCTGTAGTCTCCCAAGGCGGAATATGAGGTGCTGCTCCTCCAGTTTGTAGGTGGTCTCATTGTGACACTGGAGGAGACCCAGGATGGACATGTCACCCCAGGGAGTGGGAGGGAGAGTTAAAATGGTTGGCGACTGGAAGGTGTTGTTTGTCACACACACAGCGCAGATTCTCTACGAAACAGTCTCTGAGTCTACGCTTGCTCTCACTGATCTAGAGGAGGCCACATCGGGAGCAACGGATACAGTAGACCAAGTTGTCGGTTGTACAGGTGAACTCCTGTCTGATATGAAAGGTTTGTTTTGGACCTTGAATGGAGGTGAGGGGGGAGGTGTACCATTTTAACGCCCCCTCCCACTCCCTGGGTGACATGTCCATCCTGGGTCTCCTCCAGTGGTCACAATGACACCACCCGCAAACTGGAGGAGCAACACCTCATATTCTGCCTCAGGAGCCTACAACCGAATGGCCTAAACATGGAATTCACCAGTTTTAAAATCTCCCCACCCTCGGCCTCATCCCATGTCCAACCCTCCCTCTCATCCCTGCCTCCTTGACCTGACACAACCTTTCAATCTTCCCTCCCACCTATCTGTTCCACCCATCCCACTGACCAATCCCCACCACTCCTGCATTTACCTATCACCATCCCACCTACATTCACAGTCCCACCGCCCCTCTGTATTTATTTCCAAGCTCCCTTCCCCCTCCCCATTTCTGAAGAAGGGTCCCGACCTGAAACGTCAGCTTTCCTGCTCCTCTGAAAATGCTGGCCTGCTGTGTTCCTCCAGCTCCACACTGTATTATCATTAGCATATAGACATGATTTGTACAGAGATAAGAAATGATAAAAGCAAGACAGGATCTGTGTGAGTGTATATAGACCTCTGTCCCTAACCACATAATAATGTGAAGCATAAGCATAATTGTGGGAAATTTTAATCTACATACAACTTGGAAAAATCAGATGGCGAGTTCGTAGAATGGGATTGTTTTTACAATAACAAATTTTGGAGCCAAACAGAGAGCAGGCTATTATCAGACCTGGTATTGTGCAATGAGACAGGATTAAGTAATAAACTCAAAGTGAAGGTGGGCTTTTAGGTAGGAGCAATGATAATATGATTTAATTTTACATTCCATTTGAGAGGAGTGGGTCTGAAATTACTTCTTGAGCTTCAATAGTGGCAATTATGTGTGTATAAAAGAAGAGCTAGTTCAAGTGACCTGACAAGTTAGGTGAAAGATTTAATCAACAGAGATGCAGTGGTCAGCATTTAAGGGGATATTTAAAAAAAATCAGAGAGTAGGTACATTCTAAGGAGAAAGAAAAATTCCAAGGACAGACCCATTATCCATGTTTAAGTAGAAATGTTAACAGAGGCATCAAATTTAATTAAAAAGCATATAATTGTGCAAAGAAATGTGGCAGGTCAGAAGATTGGACAGAAAGAATAGCTAAGAACTTTAAAAGGAGGGAAAAATTACAGTACAAGAAAAGTCTACCTAGAAATATAAAAATAAGTAGTAAGATTTTTACTAAACACCATACAGAAAAGTTGACAAAGTGAGCATTGTTCCAAAAGAAAGTGAATTTGGAAAATTGATAGTGAAATATAAAGACATGGCAGATGAATTAACAAGTATTTTCCATCAGTATTCACTATAGGGGTGACAAGGAACATCCCAGAAGCAATGATAAATCAGGAAATTGAAGGGGGAAGTAACTCAGAAAAATTACAATCGAGTGAAGTGGAACTGTGGAATTTGTTAGCTGACAAATACCGGGAAGCTGACAGATTTCATCCTGGAATCATAAAAGAAGTATTTAGTGGGATTGCTAATGCATTGGTTTTGTTTCTCCAAAACTAATTAGACTCATGAACAGTCCTATTAGATTAGCAGATAGTGAATGTAACTCCTTTATTCAAAAATGATTGGAGACAGAAAGCAGGAAACTATAGCTATCATAAGAAATTATATTAAAGAAATTCTAGCAGGAAGCTTAAAATTCAAGGTAATTTGTTAAAGTCAAAATTATGTTGACATAGGGAAATCATATTTAACCAGTCTGTTCAAATTCTTTGAGGAAGTAACATGTGCTCTTGGTAAAGGAGAACTGGTTGATATACAGTATTTAGTTTCCAGAAAGTGTTAGATAAAGTTCCACATCAAAAGATTATTGCGGAAAATAAGAGTTCATGGTCTAGGAGGTAGTACATTGGCATTAATGGAAGATTGGCCAGCCAACAAGAAGCAGAGGACGTGTATCTGGATATTTTTCTAGTTAGCAAGATGTAACAAATGATGTGCCAAAGGGATCATTGCTGGGACTATTTACAATTTATATCAATGATTTGGATGAAGGGACAAAGTATAGTTGCCAAACTTGCAAGATGACACAGGTATGAAAGTAAATTTTGAAGAGGATGGAAGAGCCTAAAAAGGGACGTGATAAGTTAAGTGGATGGGCAAAGATCTGGCAACTGAACTATAATGTAAAATTATCCATTTTGGCAGAAAGAATACAAAAAAGTAAACAATGATAAATTGCAGAGCCGTGAGATTCAGAGGTGTATGGATGTCTTAGCACATGAATTGTAAAAGACTAGTATGCAGGCACAGCAAGTGATTAGGAAAACAAATGGAATGTTATAAGTTATTTTGAGGGGAATTGAATGTGAAAGTAAGGAGGCTATGCTTCAGTTATTCGAGGTACAGAAGAGACCACATCTTAAGTACTCTGTAGAGTACTAGTCACCTTATTTAAAGAAGATTGTTGGATGATTATTTGGATAGTGTGCAGGGCTATGGGGCAAAGGCAGAAGATTGGCATTTGGTAATAGAATAAGTGTAGGCATAAAGCGCCAAATGACCTCCTCCTGCAATGGAACAATTCTGTGATTCTGAAAAGAAGTGGAAACAGTTCAGAGATCTGGAATGGGTATGTTATGAGGAAAGGTTGAACAGGTTGG